AACTGCCTGGCTTCCTTTAAGTCTCAACTAAAATCTCATCTATTAAATAGCAAGCCTTTCCCAACACTTCATTCTGGTGCCTTCCCTAGGCTATTTTCTATATATCCTGTATATATGTATTTATATAATTTTACTTGTATGTGGTCTCCCCCATCAGACTGTGAGGGCAAGGGCTCTTTTTTGCCTCTTTTTTGTATCCCCTGCACTTAACCAGTGCCTGGTACTTAGTAGGTGCTAAATACGGTTTTGATTCATTGAAGATCTTCACAACTTCCCCCTTCCTATATTTCCAGTTTTCTTACACTTAACTCCCTTGATACTCTAGGATCCAGCTGTACCAGCCTACTTTCTGCTCTTTGCACATAATAATCCACATCTCCTCTCAGTGCCTTTGCTCTTAGGTGTCTCCCATGCCTGCAGTGCTCTGCCTTCTTGCCTCTACTTCAAAAAAACTCTTCTTAAAAAAACTCAACTCAAATTCCACTTTCTTCAGGAGGCTTTTTCTGGTCTCCTCTCCCCCCACCCCAAGCCTTCCTCCTCTGTGGTTTTCTTCTAGCTTTTCAGATCCTGTAGCTGTTTATTTATGTGTTGTCTTCCCCATTATGGAAGCGAGGTGGCGCAAGATAGGGCACTCGACCTGCAGTCAGGAAGACCCATCTTCCAGAGTTCAAATCTGATCACAGACACTTACTAGCTGTGTGACCCTGGGTAAATCATTTAACCCTGTTTGTTTCCGTTTCCTCATCTGTAAAATGAGCTGGAGAAGGAAATGGCAAACCATTCCCATATCTCTGCCAAGAAAATCCCAATGGGGTCATGGAGAATGGGACACAACCGAAATGACTAAATGACAACAAACTTCCCTACTAGAGTGTATTGTGTGATCCTTTAGGTGAGGGACTGGTTCAGTTTTGTCTTTGTATTCCCAGCAGGTAGCAAAATGCCTGACACAAAGTAGGTGCTTAATCAGTGCTTGCTGAGTACTGCCAGAATCTCTACTTAAAACGGACTTTGCACCTAGTTTCTGAATTGAATGAATGCACATTCATCCATTCATCCATGCTGAACCTTCAACAAGCATTAATTCAGAGACTAATTTGGGCCAGGCACTGTGCTAAGTGATGGGGATACAAGGGCAAAAACAGAACAGCCCCTCCCTTCCAGAAGCTTATATTCTTTTTTTTAATTCAATTTTTTTTTCAATTCTGGACACTCTCCCTCCCCTCTCCCACCTAACAAGAAAGCAAAACAATAGCAACAACAAAACCTGGCTACAGATCTTTATGGTCAAATAAAACAAGTTCCTGCATTAGCCTTGTTCAGCTTACATTCAAATGCACTAAAACTTTTGGGACACCCTGTATATCTTTTTACTTGTTTATGTACATGCTGAACCGCTCTTCCTCATTAGCTTGTGAGTTCAATTTAAAGCTTACACTATGTCTACTATCTACACACACACACACACACACACACACACACACACAGAAATTCATGTAAAAAATACAAAGTAATTGGAAGAGGAGGGAACACCAACAACTGAGGAATCCAGAAAGGCCTCTTGCAGGAGGTGGCCCTTGAGGGGAGCTCTGAAGGGGATTGTGGAAAAGAGGCCTGAGGGAGAGCAGCCAGTAATCAGCCTGGAAAGATCTGCAGGATTCAAACTGTAAAAGGCTTTAAATGCCACATGTGGGAGGCTGTATTTTGTCCTAGAGGCGTCGGGAGCCCCTGTGGCTTCTTGAGCAGGAGACAATAAACATAAAGCACTTCTGTGCCAGATACCCGGTCAGACCTGTGTTTAAGGAATATCCATCTGACAGCTTCCTGCAAAGAGGGATGGGAGGAGAGACTTGCCTGAGGTTCCGAAGGGTTAGCAGGGGTTAAAATGAGTGGGTTGGACAGGATTCTGAAGGACCAATGGTAAAAACATGCTATCCACCTCTGGACAAAAAAGTGATGGCCTCAGGGTGTCAATTTTGGACAGGGCTAAACGTGGAATCTGTCTTGCTTAACTATGCATATTTGTTAGATGGTTGTTGTGGTTTTTCCCCCCAACAGGAGATGGGAGGAAGGAAAATTGCTTTTTTGTTCATTGAGAAAAAAATTTACGTTAAAAAAAAAAGCAAGGAGAGGGGTTATCTAAAGCTCCTGCCATAACAAAAAGTTGTCAAACAATGACTTTATGCATAGTCCTGTCCCTGCACTAGAAGTGATACAAAGTTGCAGTGACGTCTCCCTCAGGCAGGAGATAAAAGTCCAAACCATAATATTACATGAGGTCTGAAAAGGTTGTTACCAGCCCTGGAGATTAGGGCTCTACAGAGATGGCATCTGGGACGGGCATTAAGGGATGTGTGGGGATCCAGCAGGCAAAGAAGAGGGGGAGAAAGGGCATTCCAGGCTCAGGGAACGGTGAGCAGAAGCAGAAGATGGAAGTGTGGATTCCAGAAAACAGAGTGCACATTGGCTGAAGGGAAGTGCATAGAAAAGGAAGGAAAGAGGGAAGGAAATAAGCATTTATTAAGTGCTCTGTGTGAGGCACTGGGCTAAGCCCTTTACAAATATCTCATCTGGTCCTCACAACAACCTTGTAAAGTAGGTGCTAGTCTTACTCCCATTTTTACAGATGGGGAAACTGAGGCAAACAGCAGTTTAAATGATTTGCCCAGGTTCACTAAGGCTGGAGAGGCACCAGGTTAAAGAAAGCCTCGAATGCTATAGGAATTTCAGTGTTTGAGGGATGGACTGTTATTAAGTGCTGTTCTTTGCTCTTGAGGGATCACAACAAGGTGATGAAGTGTTCATCTGCAGAGTCCAAAACAGGGACTTGTGGGATGCTACTGGATAGTAGGCAACTGTTGAAGGCGGTGCCCCAGTCCCAGAAGACTTAAGAGAACCATCTACAAAGGTTCTTGGTTACTCAGACTGCTGGTGTTTGGGTCATTTCTCCCAAAGGCTCTCACCGGTAATCCTGTGGACTTAATTGTTAAGTTGTTCCTGGGCTTTGTCATCTTTGTTGTTTTTAAAAGCCTGTCTCTGATAACATTGCGGCTAACTGTACTAGTAAGGGATTTGGTCTGTCCAGTACTGTCCAGCATGTCGTGCTGGAATTTGGGGGAAGGGCTCTGAGACAGTAAATAGAACCACTCCTCCAAAGGTGACCAGAACAACACTTTCATTAGTCTCCAAAGAGGGATCCTCCCCTGATCAAAACTCAGCTTGGCATAGCTTGTTTCTAATTATGCCCCACCAACTAGAGCCATTGAGCAGTGTTTCTGTGCTGGGTGGGGATAGCGTGGCTCTCTAGTGGGAGTAAATAGGCAGGTTTCCAAAGAATGCGGACATCGCAAACCACCAGGGGGAGTGGACAGGCTGGTCTACAGTGAGGAAGAGCACTGAGTCCCCAGGGAGAGTGGACAGGCTGGTCCCCAGGGAAGGGGGAGGGGGAATTGTGGGTCGAAGTGTTAACAGACCGAGAACTGGAAGAGACTTCAGAGGTCATCTAGTCCCACCCCCTCATGGTGCACATGAGGATGTCACCAAGAGGAGTCGGCGGGCTGGTTCCTTCCTAATTGGGGGTGGGGGTTCTCATTAGAGGGGGTGGACAGCTTGGTTCCCACTAAGGGGACACTGTGAGTTACTGGTTAAGTGCGAGACTGGTCCCGAGAGAAGGAAGGCGGGGAGGACCTGGTGAGGGAGCAAGTGGGCTGATGGGCGGGAGGGGGGGCCTAGGGTAAGACCCCCAGGCCGGCAGGGGGCGTCCCCGGGGGCCGGGGGCGGGCCAAGGAGACAGCCGGGCTGTTGCCCCAGGCGCCTCGTGGCGGAGGCTTGGAGCGGCGGTGGCGGGCCCCGGACTCTCTGGCTCTGTGGCGCGTGCGCTCGCCCGGGAGCGCCAGGTGGGAACCGGCGGCGGCGGCGGCGGCGGCGGCGGCGGGGCCATGTCCAAGGCGTGGGGGCCCCGGGGGCTCCTGTCCGGCAGGAAGCAGCGCGCGGCGGCGGCGCCGAGGTGAGCGGGGGGGGGCGCGCGGGGCGTCCGTTGGCCCGGGCGGGAGGGCGGCGTCCTGCCGAGGTGAGGGGCGGCCCCGCGGCGGGCCGGGGGCCGAGCCGACGCGGAGGCGGGAAAGTTTTTCCCGAGCGGGCGGAGTGAGCGGGAGGAGGAGGAGGAGCAGGCGCGGAGGAGGGAGGGAGCGCAGGCAACGGAACGGGGCGCAGCCCCCCAGGAGGGGCGCCCGGGCCCCCCGGCCCGGCCCGCTTCGGTCAAGCCCCCTCCTCACGGGGGGCCCCGCGGGGGCTGCTCCCGCCCGGGGCTGGGGGAGGGGGTGTGGGAGCGCGTGCCTGAAGGCCCGGCTCGGGGCGCGAGTAGGGGTCGGGGGAGATGGTGGGGCTAGGGGCGACTCGACGGCCCGAGGGGTAGGAACTTGATGGCGGCGGCCTTGTCCCTGCGCCGTGCTGCGGCCCGTCTGCTCTGGGCGGCGGAGGGATCCGAGCGAGACCCCGCGGGCAGCCCCTTCCCCACCGCTGCTGCTCCTCCTCCTCCTCCGAGGTCCCCCTCCCCAGCAGCCCGCGCGCTGACTGGGGGTGGGGGGAGGGAGGGGCTCCTCGGGCGTCACGCGCAGCCCCCCGGGTGGCTTTGGAGGGGATGGTGGGCTGGGGAGTCGGCAAGCGCGCCCCCTCGGCCGCCGGCCTCTCTGCTTTCGCATTCTTCCCTCGCGGGCGCCCGGCTCAGCCCCGCCCCCATGGCTCCCCAATGGGGCCTGAGGCCACGCCCCCTCTGGCCGCGGGGGCGGGGCTAAGAGACCTGCGGCGTGCTAGGGAGACTAGTCTGGGAGGGGAGGGTTGGGAGGGGGTGTCTGGAGGCCTGAGTAGGAGGAGGAGGCGGCGGCGGGCGCGAGGACGCGGGCGCGGGGAGGGGGGAGCCTGGCAGAGGAGGGGAGACGAGCGAGCGCAGCCCCGGAGAGCCCAGCGCGCGTGCTCGCTGCCTCCTCGCTCGCTCACCGGGATGGGGGCGGAGGGCGGAGGCCGGGAGGGCGGAACAGCCGCGGAAAGTAGATTCAGCGGCGGCGGCGACCGAGGAGGAGGCCACCGAGGCCGGCCGGGGCGACGGCGGCTCGGGCGGCTGCTCCTCTCCTTCCGCGGCGGGCTCCTCGGGCGGCGGGAGCTCAGCTCGAAGCGGCGGGTCGGGGTCGAAGGGAGCCAGCGGCGGCGGCGGCAGCGGGGCCAGCTCGGCCCGGGGGAGCCCGAGCGAGGAGGAGCAACCGCGACCGCGGCGGCGGGGGAGCCCCTGTGCCCGCACAGCGATGGAGCGGAAGAGGTGGGAGTGCTCAGCTCTCCCCCAGGGCTGGAAAAGGGAAGAAGTGACCAGAAAGTCGGGTCTGTCAGCCGGCAAGAGTGATGTCTATTACTATAGGTGAATGGACCATTGGAACCGGGGACGGGGGGAAAGAGCCCACGAAGCCCGCGGGGCGGGGGCCCGGCCCGGCTCGGTTCGGCTCCCTTCCCCCCACCCTGCACTGGCCCCTTGGAGCGAGGAAACTTGCATTGGGCTGCAGCAGCTCCCCCCACCCCCTTCTTCCTCAGCCTGCAGCTGCTGCCCAGGCCAGAGCCAGGGCACCGGGAGTCGCCTGCCTGCACTACTGTCCTTTAATGTAGGGTGACAGCCAACCCCTGGGACTGGCCGGGCCCCCTGGCTGCCTGCAAACCACCCCCGCCCTGTCCTCCAGGGCTGCCGGGATCCAGTCTGGCAAGAAACTTGCATGTGCTGCTAGACCTGCATGCCAGGAGAAGCCCTTTGCGAAAAAATAATAGTCATTTTCATCTTCTCTTCTGCATTCCCACTCCCCTAATTTTTTTCCCCTAAGCCACCTAGCATGACTGCATGCAGGAGAAATAGGAAGCCTTCTGGGTGCAGCAGCTGGGGGTGGGGGGAGGGGGAGAGAAATACAGTCTTTATTGCAATGTCTAAATTCACAAATGATAGATTGGTGTAGGCGCCGTTGGAGCCACATGGGGTTCCCTTTTCCTAAATGCAGCTATTGGAATACAAACTTTAATAGGCTTTTAGAGCTGCAGTCCGCTTTGTTTAATGCAGCATATGCAGTGCTGGAAACTTGACTGCTTTTATCGGATTGTGAAGGGTCCCTTTATTAGACGTAGCCATGCAGTGTGGAACAGAGTGCCCCCTAATCAATCCCCCAGCCCTTTGTGTGTTTGGGAGGGGTGGGGGACTGGACTAGCTCATTTTAAAGAATGCAACTGTGCTTTATTGAAGAAATTTACGATACAGTTTGTCACTTATGTAGCTTAAATCACCCGGAACCCTGGGGACGTATTTTCCCTTCTGATCAATTCTGTCTTGGAGCATATAGCACCTTGGGGGTTTGTTTTCTTTTCATCCCCCCCCTTTCCTTTTCTTCCCTCCCAAGTTCAAAGGGAGTCTTTGGCCTAGGCTTTCAGAGGGTAGGAACCAGAGGGGGAAGGCGGTCCTTCTCTCTTACCATAACAAGAATAGAACAAAGAGCTAGTTGCACATTTAGACCATGCACCTGGCATTGGCTGGCTGCATTGAATGGCCTCCAATCCATTTGTTTCAATCTTTCCCCAAATTTTCTCACTTTTAAAAAATAGTTTGCCTCTGAGGATAGCTTTTATTCCCCCCCCATACCAGGTATGTGATGGTAACATTACAATAGCAGTTTAGATTTTATGAAGCACTTTCTTTATGACAAGTACTTTATAGTAGGTCGATCAACTATTATTGTCCCTGTTTTAGAGATGAGGAAGTTGAGACTCGGAGGTTGTGATTTGCCCACTGTCATACAGCTAGCAAATGTGACTTGAACTCAGGTCTTCTAAGTCTGAGGTTCTTTCCACTACAATAATAATAATAACAAACCTTAATATATGGTGCTTTGAGATTTGCAAAGCAGTTTGTTGCCTCTGCTGAGTGGAGCTTCTGGTGGAGAGAATGAAAGGACTTTTGATGGTAAGTCAATCATTGATTGTGATTTGGTGATCATAAGTAAAATGCACTCAAGTGAAATCCAAGAGTACACTTGTTTGGTAATACTTAAATTTGATCTTAAGAAAAGCTTGATTGCCGTGATTTGGTCATCTGGTTTCATGTTAATTTGGGGGATAGGGGAAGCTGTTGGTCTTGTATGTGGATATGAGCTTGAAAATCTCTTAAAAGCTGAAACTAGAAGATGAATCATTTCTACAAAATGTGTCCTTTTTCTTCTCTCTATTATCAGTTTTTGTTTATTGACATTAAAAGAAGTCCTCACCAGAGTCTAACAACATGGGAAAGTGATTGCTTTAGGCATAGGCTTCTGGTTAGTTTCTGTGGGCAGCTCTCAGGCAGCAACTTATCAAGCTGTTAATGACAATGTGAGCTCCTTTATGTGGTGCTTTAAGGTTAACAGAGCAGTACAGTAAGGTAGGGAGATTCCCCTTTTACAGAGAAGGAACACTTCCTACCTTTTGAAGGCTGATTTTAGAAATTTGGATTGACTCTTCTAGGGGGGCAAATCAGGGAAATTAATAGTAGGTTTTTTGTTAGAGCCCATACTTGTTAAGGGTGTCAGCATTTGTTAAAATTGAAGCAGCAGCATTAGGCATTCTCTAAAGTACATCTAATTTTAGATGAAGCTATCTAGAAGAGTAAGAAAAACTTAGTTTGCCTGATCAGTTCTTGTCTTCTTTTGCAAGGGAGATGGGAGGTAGATGATTATTATTCCCTAAAAGGTAGGCTAACATCATCAAATTAAGGTATCTTTTTCAGTTAAAGAAACTGAGAGAAAGTGGCCCTGGCTTGTGGTCAGTGGCAGAACCAGAACCCCATCCAAAATCATCTCTTGGAGCTTTTGTAGTACTTCATTGTTGAATAACAATTACTAATGAAGTATTTTTCTTAAGACCAGTTTTAGGGACAGCTTGAATTTTTTTTTCAACCCCTTTTCCTTTGTATTTAGTGTTTCTTTAGTTTTTCTGTGTTCCTAAGCCCCAAGTCTTCTTCCCTTTTATCATAAAGAGCTGCTAACGACTCCACTCCTTTTCTCTTGAGAAACTTCTACGTTATTGCCAGTTGGTACTTAATTGTCTATGTTGAGTCACCAGTAAAAGAATATTGAACAGAGAGGTCCTGTTAGTCAAGCAGTTTGCAGTGGTTAACATTAAACCATTTCTTTCCCTTGTATTTTTTTTTGGGGGGGATCCTTTCTGCACAGAAAATATTTGTGCAGAAGATCTAACATAACAGAAATTAAAACCAAAAAAGTCAGTGGAAAATAAAATGTAATTTGTGTGTGTGTGACTAACCTTTGTGGGTATTGGGTTTCTTTGCATCAGGATGTAAAATGTTCCATGTGTTTCTTAGAAAGGTGTGATAACTCCATAGGTTGCTTGTTCCAAATTAACCCCTAAAGAATTGGAGGCTATATTGATGGCAAGAGTGCTGTTATGCTAGGGTGGGTTGGAAAAGCAGAAATAAAGGTGGATTTTTTAAAAGTAGGGATTAATTCAAACTTAAAAGTAGCCAATTTCAAAGTGGACAGCATGGTATAGAGGTGGGATTCTTAAATGGGGACTTAAAGGCTTGAGTGCCAGTCCCTGTTCTGCCATTCTGTTGCTGTGTGATGACTGAGGGCACGTCATTCCCCTCCTTTGGGGGCCTAGTTTCTCCATGGTCTTAGCTGATCACTGAGCTAGCTCCCTTCTAGTTCCAGCAGTCAGTGAATAGGAAATGGCCCCCTGCTGTTGCCCAGCTTACATGTACTCAAGGGCTGTGGACTAATTTTAGTACCACTGAGGTTGGAACATAGTTATAAAGGAAATCTGGGGGGTGGGGTGGGATTTGAAGGCAGGGTAGGAACATAGAAACTATTTAAGAACTTAAGTAAAATTACTACTCTTACCTACCTCCTTCATATTTCTGCTCATAATTTGAATTGACCATAATGCTGGTCACACACTGTGTGGAAAGAACAGTGGTTGGTAGACTACTAGATTTGTAGTTGGGATGACTGGGGTGAATTCAAATCCACCCCTAACACTAGCAGTGTAGCCTTGCACAAATCATTGACCTTTCCTGGACTTGAGGCAATTCTTAAGAAGATCTGCTAAGTTATAGGTTATAAATTATATCTTACTGAAGATCTGTATTTGCATGAATATTTGTTCCATAAATGACATAACATATTGTGTGAAACAAATTGTTTTATTCAGTTAATTAAAGATCCTGTTGTTTTAACCAAGTTGGTGAAACTAGGGTTACATTGTGTTTGCAAATGTTTCTGTCTTGTAAGTGGAAATGAACCAACTTGAGAGATGACAAGGTAGCTTTGTCTGACTGTCAGCCTTCCCGTCAGATCAAAGGTTTTTTAAAGGTATTGCTGTTACATTTTGTATAATATTGTATTCCTGGTTTGTGGTTCTTTAAACTAAGGGAGGGGGTTGATTGTTGGATTCTGAATTGCACATTATTTTTTTTGCTCTAAAGGTTATAGGATTTAGAGTTGGAAGGGACATTAGAGACCTTTTTGTTTAATCCTGTCTTTTATATATAAGAAGCAGAGGCCCAGAGAGAAAAAAAGATTTCCCAAAATCACACCAGTCATAAGCAGCAGATTTGAACCTGGCTCCTCTGATTCCACATTGAGGGCTCTTAGATTTATTATGAAACTTGTACTCTTTGCTGAAGCTGGATCTTTGAGGAAATGAGCAAGAGTTTCACAGCAGTGTGTGGCTCCTGATGCCAAATGACCTTTTATGGCCCTTCCAACTCCAAGATTCTGTGATGTTTAGATAAGGGGGGTGGCTTGCTATAGATGGGGAAAGTTAGTTCTCCATCTGGAAAGTTTGTTGCATTGGATATCTAGTGATTTCAAGGGCAGAAAGATCACACTGGTCTTCATTCTCGGATTGGTCTGACTGAGAAAGAACACACTCTGCCTTTACTTTGGTATCACAAACATTGATTATTGTGAAAATAAGGTCTTCACATAGGGTACCAGAAGAGAGAGTCGTTCTATCTCGTGGTTCATTCCTCATCTATAACAATGCTTCACAATAACAGTGATGGATTTAATGTTGGTGTAGCACTTAGAATGGGGAAAGATGATCAAAACCTACCCTACAAAATAGGAATTTCCCTTTTCCTTTTTAGCCCAAGTGGGAAGAAGTTCCGAAGCAAACCTCAGCTAGCCCGTTACCTGGGGAGCTCCATGGACCTGAGCACTTTTGACTTTCGAACAGGGAAAATGCTCATGAGTAAGATGAACAAGAATCGGCAGAGGATGCGCTATGACTGTTCTAACCAAGCCAAAGTAAGGACCCCTTCCCTCACAAGCTCTTGGCCCTCTTTGGGGAGCCATAGCCCCCACTCTCTGGAGTTGCCTTTCCTGGTAATCTTTGTAGATCTGACTCTTGGCATTTCTGTACCTAAGAGTTTTCAAGACCTTGCTCATGTCGAGCCTTTTTAGTTCCTGATCCTAGAAGCAATGAGTGGAAACTACAGGCTCCTGCTTGATATAGCCTTCTCCGTGAATGCAGTGGGTTAGCCTCAGAAGGTGGGGAGCACCTTACTTGTAGAGGTATTCAAGCAGAGGCCAAATGACCCTTTTTCTAGATACTGAAGAGATTTTTGTTCAGGTATGAATGGGTTGGACTGAATGCCTTGAGAAGTCCCTATTCAACTCTGAGATTCTGAAAAGTTGTCTGAAAACATAAGTAATTTGGGTTGAATATCTTCGTGCACAAGCCCTTGAATCAGGGCTGGCAAACATAACTAGTCATGTGATTGTGGGCAAGTCGCTATTTGAAGCCTCAGGGTTCTCATCTGTAAAATAGAGATAATCCCAGGACCTGTCTCTCGGGTCTGTTCTGAAGATAGTGCTTCGTGAACTCTCTAATGCAGTGTGAAACCAAGCTATTCTAATGCAAAGAGCCAAGTCATCGTACTTAGTCCAGGTCTTTTTAGTTTATAACCTCACATTTGGCACTTCATGGTTTACAAAGTGTGCATTTGCATTCATTATCTCATTTATCTTCCCAATAACTACTGAGAATAGATGGGACCAATACTATTATGCTTAATTGAATAAAGAAACTGAGACCCACAGAGCTGGAGTGGCAGGCCTGACTGCTCGTGGAAAGGGGGCTGGACTATCTCAAGCTTACTAGAAAGCAGGCCTCAGACACCTACCAGCTTTGCAACCCTGGGCAAGTCACTCATTCTCTGTCTGCCTCAGTTTTCTCATCGGTAAAATGGGGATAATAATGCCTCTCAAGGTTGTTAGGATAAAATGAGATGGTTTTAAAGTGGTTTGCGGGGGCAGCTAGGTGGCGCAGTGGATAGAGCACCGGCCCTGAAGTCAGGAGCACCTGAGTGCAAATCCGGCCTCAGACACATAACACTTACTAGCTGTGTGACCCTGGGCAAGTCACTTAACCCCATTGCCTAGCAAAAATAAAATAAAATAAAGTGCTTTGCAAACCTTAAAGCACTATATAAGTGCTAGCTGTTGTTATCATCATCATCATTATTGTTCTTAACAAATGCCAAAAGAACAAAAAAGAGAATTTGACACAAAGTGGGGAAAATCTCCTCCCATGCCTTGTTATCCTGTGCCATGTCTGCCCCATGTATTTTTGTAAAGCTGCCAGAGATGATCCACTTAGTACACTAGATTCCTTCGTCTAGTGCTCTGAATATTTCTTGGTGTGCCCATATGTTAATTCTAACTACATAACTGACAGACCATTTCTCTAAATTTGGAGGCCTACCCGTAGATTCCTACTCTTTAAGAACCTAAATTTAGAGCTTGGACGGAACCACAGAGGTAACTTGATCTAACACCCTCATTCTAGAGAGGAGGACACTGAGGCCCAGCCCGGAGCTGCTAAGAGACTGGCCCCGAATTCACCAAGTAATACATGGCAGAGAGAGGAGTTGAGCCTAGTTGTTTGTCCATCTGTGCTGCTTGCCTGAAGTAACTCAGTGGCCTGCCCATGCAACTCCGTGGCATTGTGTCCCTTCCTTGCCTGACGTTTTTCAGTCATTTGTGCAAGATCTGTTCTTAAGCCACTTTATTTTTCCTGGGCAGTTGGTCAGGGCAGTCTCTTTGAATGCCTGTAGATCTCATATCCAAGGATCTCTATGAGCCACACTTTCCATATACTTTAATGGACTCAGTGCCTGAAAGTGTCTATTCTTTTTGCTATTTCCCATAAGACCATCTATGTTTTTAAGAAAATTATATGACATTTTATAGAATAGTAACAGGTAATAAGCAAATAAAATTTTTAAAACTCAGTTGCATTTGTAAGAGGACTCAGTGAAAAAAGGCTTGTGAGTTTATGTAAGGGGAAAAGTAATGAATATTGTTTTGGGAGTACTGGATTCTGGGTCCTGGTCTGTCAGTTATGTAGTTAGAGTTAACAGACGGGCACACCAAGAAACACACTGGTGCCCATGAAATACTCAGAGCACTAGACGAAGGAATCTAGTGTATTAAGTGGATCATCTCTGGCAGCTTTCCAAAAATACATGGGGCAAACATGGCACAGGGTAACAAGTCATGGGAGGAGAATATCCCACTTTGTGTCAAATTCTCTTTTTTTGTTCTTTCGGCATTTGTTAAGAACCATGATGATGATGATGATGGGTCCTCCCACATTTACCAGCTGTGGGATCTTAGGCAAGTCACTATTGGAGACTCTCAGTTCTCTCAGCTCTCATATAGGGCTAAATTCTCTTTAACCCTGCTTTCCTTGAAGGGTTCTTGGGAAGAGAGTGCCTCACAAGCTTCAAAGTGCTGAGTAAAGGTTGTTTCATGTAGTGTCATCCAAAATAGTTCATTTAGACAGTTGGTTCCTAGACAGTAATCACTCTTACTCGTTTAGTCCCAAATGTCAATCAGATGTCTAAGAAAGTGGCCACATGTTTGAAAACCATATCTATCCCCAGTCTCCATCTATAGGGTCAGCTTTGTTGACGGCCATAGCCTCTTCTCCTTATCTTGCCACTTCTTTTGGGTAGTTTCATCAGGATAATATCCTGTCATCCCAGTCTCAAAGTGACCCTCTCCTGAGCTGGTAGAAGGTCAAGTCATTAGCTTTCCTAAAACGTGAGACAGATTCCTTTCTTCCACTCAGAGGTCTGTTGCATGTAGGTAGGGCCTTTTTGCTTTATCTTCCTAAATTCATTTTCATCAGAGAGAAATCTTAAAGCAAATCTTGCTATTTTGGTTGGAAGCACTAATTTAATACTTGAAGCAATCATGATTCCATGGGCATTGGTCCTCTCACTGAAACAAATTTCGTAAAACTTTTCTGACCAAAAAACCTCATCATCCCGTGGCCCACATTCTGGTGACTAGTCTCTCCAGATTTGGCGAGGTTGATCCTAGAATTGCTGATGTACAGTCTGCCACCAGGTCGGTGCTCCAAATCTTTATGTTCTGTTAAAGCCAGAGCTAGCACTCCCTGGCACGTGTATGGCTTTCAAGGATCCATGGCCTGTTCTCCCAGTCACCCACTGGAAGGTCACTTCAGTGGGTCTGTGCCCACATCATTGTGAGTCTGTATTCTCTTCGTGAGGTTGGCCTCCATGACTGCCCCAAGAACCATGCTTCTCACCTTGGGTCATTCATTGCTTCCCATGCTTTGCATAGAGCCTCCTGGAGATTCTTCTCAGCGTGTTGGAGGTCTTCTTCTGGTTCTTTTACTGCTTCTTGATGGAAAGTGGCTGTTCCTCAGTTATCTGTCATTCTTGCTCTATGACTGACCCACCTTTTTTTTTTAGTTTTACATATCCTTAATGATTTAAGTTTATCCCACTTCTGTGCATAAGCTACCATGAGTAATAGGACACTGTAGCCCATTTACACCTGCAACCTGACTTCCCATTGCTCTTCGGCTCACCTGTAATTCCCTTGAGATTGGGGTTGTTCATCATTTGCAACTACATAGCATGTCTGGAAGAATATTGGTGTTGTGAGGTGGGCTTTTACAACAAAAAGCGTTTTGGGATCCTTGAAAATGTGCAGTTTCATCCAAGTACCTATCATAACACAGGCAAAGTACTTCAAAATTCTTGATCTATTTTGTTTTTCCTGTGTGGGTAGTTAGGGTGATACCCTGAGTAACTATGAATGCCATTGAGAACACCTTGGAGTGTCCCAGGACCCAGTGCAGTAAGCATAAAATGATCTACCAGAAGGACCCTCCTGGAGAGCCTCTTCATCAATAAGAAATCTGTTTGGGCTAGGTGTGGGTTAGGTGTCCTTCTTCCATGACACTAGCAGACACTGACCATATTTGTCCCTCTGCCTCTGGCCTTACCTGATGTTGATGATCCATCAGCTGTCGAGCAGTGTTCTCACTAGTTCATCACCCATCAGTCAGCAAGCATTCTGTAAGTACTTACAATGTGCCAAGAACTGTGTTGTGGGCAGAGAAAAGCAAAAACACAGTCCTGGTCTCCAAGAACTCACAATCTAATGGGGGAGACAATATGGAAATAACTATGTCTGTACAAGAGATGTATATGTAGATAAAGAAGGCATACTCAGGGGGAGAGGGAGGGCATGGGAAAGGCCTCTTGCAGAAGGTAGGATTTGAACTGAGTCTTTTTTTTAAAATTAATTTATTTTGATTAATCAACAATCACTTCCATATGCTTTTGAGTTTAAAATTTTTCTCCTCCTTCCTCCCCCCACCCTCCCCAAGACTGCACACAATCCGTTATAGGCTATACATTTACATTCCTATTAAACATATTTTCACATTAGTGGTGTTGTAAGTAAAAATTAAAACCAATAGGAGGAACCATCAGAAAGAGGAAACAAAACTCAACAGAAGAGAAAAAAAATAGCAATTCAACTTCCATAGTTCTTTCTTTGGATGTGGATAGCATTTTCTGTCACAAAGTCTCTGGAGATGTCTTAGATCCTTGCATTGCTGGGAAGGGCTAAGTTTATCAATATTAGTCATCGCATAACATTGTGTACAACGTTCTCTTGGTTCTGCTCACTTCACTCAGCATCAGACCATACAAGTCTTTCCAGGTTTTTCTGAAGTCAGCCTGCTCATCATTTCTTATAGCACAATAGTATTCCATTACATTCATATACTACAACTTGCTCGGCCGTTCCCCAATTGATGGGCATCCTCTCAATTTCCAATTCTTTGCCACCACTAAAAGAGCTGCTATGAATATTTTTGTACATGTAGGTCCTTTTCCCATTTGTATGATCTCTTTGGGATATAGCCCTAGAAATGGCTATTGCTGGGTCAAAGGGTATGCACATTTTTATAGCTCTTG